AAAAAGTTCTAACAAATGAAAATGACAATAAAACATCCACGCATTTTATCGAAAGTTATAAAAGTTTTGTTACTTGTAATATGTTTTATCTGCCCCCTGGAATTAATGTTTAGAACCTTGTTCCTAAGGTTTGAAAAACATCCGATTGTTGTCTATTACTCGTATTTACCTGCTGGATTTTTTAATCCGGTGGACAGTCCGTCTAGAAAGGCCCTCCTGGATGAAGTTACAGAATCATCACCCCATACTTTACTTGTAGTGTGTCCTGCGTTTACCCACGTTTCATCAAGGTAATAAATCTTCCTGTTTTGATTTCTATATTTCCCAATTTTTGTTAAATAATCCCTCCTCCATAGCACAATTTCTTCTCTATCCAGTAGTAAACTATTACGACCCCATTTTTTCCATTTGAAATTTAAATGCTTCAGTAACGCATGGAAAGTTGATCGTTTGAAATTTGGCAACGTTGTATCTCCATTTACCTCCTGCAGTACTTTATCTATAGTAGGTATTTCATTCCTAAAGAAGAATTCATGCACTTTCCTCCTAATCGCATGCTTATCAGCTTCATCCAATGATTTAACAATACTTTTGCGATGTTTACTGGTCATTGGCTCAGAAAAGGTGTGATTTTTTTTGTATTGTCTTAACACATTAAGCACTGATGCGCGACACACCCCAACTTTGTGAGAAATCTTCACAACAATTTCTTTGATGGTTGATGCCTCGTTCTCCTCGCGCTCGATCTTATATATATTCAAAATGACCTCTTTCATTTCTGCACTCAGGTGTCTTTTTTTAGAGCGTTTCCTAGGTGGACTACAGGAGTTTACAACTTCATCGGCAGTATCTGTACTACTGGGCATTTTGCGCAAGCAGTTGATAACAATAACAATCAATAACAAGGTATAACAATAACAACGACAAACTCAACAACTTAATAAGATAACAAACGAAAACGTCCAAAGAAATATCAAATTGCAATGATGCACACGACATACGTAACACGTCTGAACCTGAATGTGACTCTGCCTTGATACGACTGCTCTGCCGCTCGGCATAGGCATTTAATTGCGAATTGACCAATGAGGGCTCCTGTTTTACATCGAGACGGCGGCGTTAGCGTGAAAATCACCCGAACCTTTTGTTTACATCCGGTCTATCTCTTATCTGAATATACTGTAATTTTTTTACACCTTTGTATATTTTTGGAAATTGGAACGTGCCTCTACAGTATTGACTGCTCCATCTACATCAGTGTAATGCCAGCTGCAGTTGTTTCAAAAAATTTATTGACGTTTGATTTCGATATCAATCGTTTTTGAAAAAAAATATCCGTGGTTTTTTCGGATCCCTGGTGACAGAGACCTGTTATGAACATCATCAAAATTTCAAAACGGGGGAACCAGTATTCGGAAACGATCCCATAATTGATAAAACTTTACCAAAATAATAAGGCTATTCTACTCCAAAACCCCAGAACAGTTCATTAAACCCCCCCTAAGCATGAATCCTGTGACGCTCCTGACATAAATACTGGATCCGCACTTCAACACATATACCCTATACATTTTAAAAATCAGAATTAAAAACAATATTGGGAAAAAATTCAATATGGCGTCCATATTGTGCATATTGAAATACTAATTATGCGATCTGATAGAGGACAAAAAATGGCAATGCCATTGTGCAGTTTATCTTGAAGTATAAATAAAGCCACGAGGGAATTAAAACGATTTTGAGAAAATTCGTTTTTTTGCCGTCTCTCTACAGAAGTACCTCGAATTTGAAACACCCTTAGGCTTATATATATATATATATATATATATATATATATATAGCAGTTAACTTACAGACAAGAGATATAGCTGAATGGCCAATTTCATATCTTCAGTTACTTCTGGCAGTTAATCAGCAGATGTTATGTACACATTGGATTAATCGGCGGATGAGAGTTCACTGAAGATTATGAAACCAACACTCATAACGTCGGCTCCCCAATTTTCGAGTGTTCAGTTAACTAACTGTTAGATGCGATATCCATACAGTTAAATTGTTAATAGAACTGCCGTATGTGATACATATATGTACTCTTATAACTGCCTGAGAGCGTTAGTTGCTTTTAGAAAACAAGAACTCAATAGATAGGGGCCAGATACCTAGGTAGAATTAAATTTGTCTCTAACACAGTCGATCTTAGAAGTTGGTTGACAGCAGTGTCGGCAAGTCGGTTAGAACGCTTGCCGAATATGGGAAATACGGGTTCAAATTCATACCGGTGCACCTTTCTCCTTCCTGTCAGGTTGTTATTTTCAAAATTATATTCTCTCAAGTTTGAAGGAAAAATTGGTATTTGTTAACGACATGCAGCAGCAGTTATATCATAAAGTCTATACCATAGTTTTGTTACCGGTATTTCTGATTGAAAACACCCAGTAAAGTCAAAGAAAACGTATACACGCGTTTACAGCAGCGTATGGTGCATTATGTTACTCTCTTCTATTTTGGTACCCAACTAAAGGGTGTCCCAAAATTAACGCAAGATTTGAATTTGCCGCCATTTGTGCAGTGAAGTGTTGGCAACCCTGAAAAAAAGCAATTTGACTATTTGACAGCTAACAGTATAGGGTTATGAAAAATGGAGCGTTACACGATAGAACAACGTGTCTTCATTATTAAAGAATATTTCAAAAATAGTGAAAGCTTGGCGGCTGCAGTTCGAAAATTTCATACAAAATATGGCCGGAATAGTGTTTTAACTTCGTCAACTGTGAAGAGATTAATTGAAAAATTCATGGAGACTGGATCCGTTGGAGACGCCAAACACACTGGTCAGTGGTCGTCCAAAAACAAGCCGTTCAAATGTGAATATCGAAGCAGTGCGTGAGAGTGTTGCGGACAATCCAGGAACCTCAATTCGACGTCGTGGACAAGAATTGCAAATGTCAAGAACCTCTCTACAGCGTATACTCGCCAAAGATCTGTGTCTTCATGCTTACAAACTTCGATTAACACAACAATTGAAGCTTAATGACCATGCAGAGAGAAGAGAGTTTGTTGAATGGATTATTGAACATCAACAAATGGACCCTGATTTTTCAAGCAAAATCATCCTAAGCGATGAAGCACATTTTCATCTTGATGGCTTTGTCAATCGCCAAAATTGCCGCATTTGGGGTTCGGAGAACCCACGTGTGATTGTCGAAAAAGAAATGCACCCACAACGCGTGACTGTCTGGTGTGGATTTTGGGCTGGAGGCATAATTGGGCCATATTTTTTTGAAAATGATGCTGGTCAAGCAGTGACTGTTACTGGTGCTCGATATCGCGACATGATTACACAGTTCTTTCTGCCAAAATTGAATGATATTGATGTACCCAATATGTGGTTTCAACAAGATGGTGCCACATGTCATACAGCCCGTGAAACAATTCAATTACTGCATGAGACATTTCCCGGTCGTGTACTCTCTCGTTTCGGTGATCAAAATTGGCCTCCTAGATCGTGTGATTTAACACCATTAGACTTCTTTTTATGGGGTTATTTGAAATCACAAGTCTATGTCAACAAGCCCACAACCACCCGTGCATTAAAGGAGGAGATTCAACGCTGCATCAACGAAATTCAGCCACATTTATGCAGAAGGGTCATGGAAAATTTCGACAAAAGAGTGCGCATGTGCATGCAAAGCCATGGAGGCCATTTGTCCGATGTGTTATTCCATACATAACCCTATCCTATGTACTTTATGAGTCAATAAAAATATAACTATTAAAAGACTAAAAATGGCATTTTCTATTTAATTCAAATCTTGCGTTAATTTTGGGACACCCTTTATAATAAGCTTGCGAAATTGATCTCACCAAACTATATTCTTTAATTCACTCTGCGACTTCTACAACCGTTCAGAGGTTTTTGGGACATATCCGAGTGTAGGGACCGCAGAGCGAATGGGGGGAGGTGGCGATTTGTAAGAAGCCCCACCAGCCAGAGAAAATGTGTTGATGCAATATACCCCCCCCCCTTCCATTACTGACACAAAGCTTTATTTAAAATATTACTGAACAGCAAACGTGTTTGGTTCCATCCACTGTCTCATCATGGAAAATGCAGATACTGAACATCAGCAGAGTGCTGCCGAGGAAATTCATATTGATGCATTCAAAATCAACAGTACAGGAGCAGAACAACTACCAAAGTAACCACTATAAGGTTATCGCAGGAACTTACCAAGGGGAGAACTTATTTATATAAAAGATAACCAAGCAAGCAGCAGGCTGGTAGTAACAGATTTTCTTAACTCCCTAAAGCGTCTAAAGACTTATACGCGAGGCATCTTATTGTCATTAAGAGAAATTTTACACCATATCCTGCCTAGTGGTGAGGACCTCGCGTTTATTGGAGTTCCATCTCACGCTGGAACAGGTGGAAACGGATTGGCAGATCAAAGTGCTAAAGAAGCTGCAACTTCAGATGCTCATCTAAGCCTGAAACCGCCAGTGGCCGATATCAAAACCTACATGAGAAATCTGATATACAACATATGGAACAGGAAGCCGATTTTGGACCATGGGAAGCAGTAACCTCTGATAAGAGACACCAAGTGCTGATAATCCGTTTATTCCTTAGCCACCCACGGATTTCTCTCGCAGTTTGTGAGGTACGTCTGACTGTATGCCATGTACTAGTAGAGTGGTGCCCTTTAAAGAACAGCCAACAATATTAGTTGTAACCTTACAAACTGCAACGTAGACAATATGTTGTACACATATGTTACACAGACTATTAACAGAGCCCAAAGGCTGATGCAGCAGCGTTTTTTTTTGTATAAAAAAGTGAGAGTTTTTGGTAGAGATTACTTATTGTAAAGATGACATAAAATATTTTTCCGAATGAAGGTCAGGATTTCCTAGGGTTATAAATAAAAACACAAAAAGACTTTTAAATGTATATTTACTTATAATCTAAAAGTGTATAATACAAAAAATATTATCATAAATGTGTTCTATAATTGTATAAACAATATTTTAAAAAGATTTAACATAAATGAATGTATAAAGACAATGGAGACAGACGCAGAATAAAAAAATATCTTCAGCATATTGTCTGATCATAAAAATAACATTTTTATCTCGCTCGACTATTACATTTCACAAAATTGGTCATGAACAATTCAACAAAAAAGCGACTTATTAGGGGAATGTGGTAAGCCATAATTGAAGTATTCAAAACCACAGTCATACTGTATAAACTCCAACGTTCAATTCGATTTTGTATACAGCTAAAAGGTTAATATTTGTTTAGTGCAGTGGATGATATGCAAGTCGTGTCAAAGATATTGCAACGATGGCTTTTTTGCTTCAACTCTTCGAAGAAACAACTATGTAAATAGATGGGTGTACGAAATGTTAGAGTTCACAGTACACCTTTGCATGAGATTTGTGCACTGTGATGGTATCATCTACTGAGCTAACAAATTCCAATTTGGCAGTCGAATAAGATTTGTGCGCATAAGAATGTCTGCTCAACATTTTTTCATTTTCATATAAATGACATATAAGCTTAGAATGAATACTGTACAATGATGATAAGAGCGATGCGTAGAATCTAAATTCCACCGAATTCATAGAATGAAAAACATGATAAAATATCTGCAAATAAAATGGTTCATCACTGATGTACATGTAGCTTATATACCAGGAGAAATGAGCAAAAAAACAACCCTAAAACTTGACGGCTGATCGAAGCGGAGGTTATAGTATCAGATCCGGCAGCCTGAATCTGCTGGTATGTTTTTTTTTTATAAAACTTGATTTTTATGAGTGACAAATAATAGTAAAATAGATTAGAGCAGGGTTGCCTTTACCAGGCAGGTCAGAACCATCTACGGTAGCATAAACTAGTCTAGGCCGCAAAATTTGGCATTATGGATATGCCGACTGGGAAGGGCTCAGAGGCTTTTTGCTCACCTTTTCTTGCAAATATGTTTTTTTCGCTGACCCGGCTGCGTCTCTTCATACAGTGAGTGACTAAATCAGGATCCAACGGCTGGTTCAACAAACTGTGCGACACTGCTCCTCGGTAGAATATCAAGATAAACAGAACCTTCTTGCAAAACCCCACTGAGGAAAACAGACAAGCCGAACAAAGCATTTCACAATGCCAAAGACTAGGACGATGTAAAAATTAGGCACAGGGTAATGTCGCAACGCAATGGCAGTCGGTCTCTCTTCCCCCGCTTACCTGCAAGGATGGAACGATTATAACCGATTCAAAGGCTAAGGCGGTAGTGCTTGCTGATATCTTTGCTGCTAAATCCACCATGGACAGCCGGATCTTAGAAAGTGTTCATATGGCGGATCTGTGAAAGCACACCGTTGTCAGATAGGTCTGACGGAATTTCCCAATAAAAACACACAAAAATCCCTAAGAATTGCTACTTTTTCAAAAACCTCTCCAAATGGAAAGGGGCAGGTTTGATTCAAAGAGTGGAGGGATGCTTTCTATCCGCAAAACGTGTGATTCTCCAAGAAAATTATATCCCCAAAAAATTCTTCAAGTAAAAAACCTCCAAAGTTGGACGAAAATTTCCCAACATGGCAACCCTGCGAAAGCACCACTGTTAGTCCAGGCGTTGTTTCGGTGTCGGTTTTACAGCATAGTTTCTCCTGGTTATACAGGCTCCATGGTTGAAGTACTTCAGTCTAAAACAAGGACACACCGACAGTTGATATAGCACCGAAATGAATTGCTTACATGTGCCAATATCAAGTGGAACAATTTAATAGCCAGCCAGGTTTGTGCTGGATGTCAGTATAACTAACCACATGCTTATATCTCAACTTTACAGGTTTCTGTACAATTTTGTCAATAATTCCTAAAATAGGGTCATCTGGACAACAATAACTTTAACATTCGAAAGTATGAAAAAATCGAAAGCAAAGAGGATCATGTTTCGAAAAAAGGCATTTTATCAAGAAACTTAAAAAAAAAATCGAAGCTTTTGAACGAAAAGGAATATGGAAATAAAAAAAAAAAACGCCTTCCGAATGTCCGATGTCTGGGCTTTCTCACGCAAAAATTGTTAGGTTCGTAGCTCCGTTATCTTCGGAGGAGATAGAAATTGAATACCGAACAGCACGTTTGACACCCAAAAAGGCCAATATTCCGACGTTTGAAAATTGTTTATTCGAAACGGGTGCCCTAAACGGAAAAAACTTTCTCGGTAATTTATAGTATTCGTCGAGAAGTACAAAATGGGATATGCGAAATTTCTTTTCTTTTTGAAGTAGAGAAGTTATAGGCTTTTTCTTTGAAAATTTTCTAGAAAAAACCTAAGATGCGGATCAAAAGCGGTCCCGGAAAATTCGAAAGGCCCATCATTGTTGATGTCGAGTCAAAATTTTGAGAAATGACGGAAATCGTTCGGGCGATACTCGAAAAACCACCGTTCTTTCGACTTTAACGGCCGTTTTAAAACGTCCTCCGTCCTCGTTCCTCGACGGTTCTTACTCGTAAAGCGCCGAGTTTCTAGTGCCAATATTAACTACTGTCTCAGACGGCCTCTCATGTCGGCGCCGACATGCAGTCAGTACGACCCTGTTTCAGAACTTAACGGGTTATTTCTTGCTGATTCACATGCCTAATACAAAGGAGAGTTTATAAAGTATCTAACGTAACGTATTTCACAATCAATCTCCCTACAACGTGATGTTTTCAAAATTTAACAAAAACGCACTGGCCATATCATGAGTCCAGGAGTATGTACCACACATTAAAATGACTCTAAGAAAAGGTTACACGTTAGGCTACATTTTAATCAAATAAAATATTTACTGCAATATCTATGATGCCCATAAATATAACATGTGTACATTGTTATTGGTTCCTGCTCATTTCCACCATGGCTGTTGCATCAGAAACTGCGTTGGTTAATTAATAATACAATATACCTAAATTTAGGTAAATAAAGTTAATTTTACATGAATTTAAATATTTTGATGCCATAGTATACAAACTCCAAGACTATTATTTTGGTTACAACCAAATATGACGTGCATTTTACATCGCATTACATTTGTACAATGAAAGCCGTACTTTTAAAATTGATACATAAAAAGGTCAAAGGTTAAAAATAACAAAAATCCTTGATGATTTAAATCTCATATACGTCTACTTGAATACAGAATTTGATATTAAACGAAATGTTTAATATTAATTAAGGCAGGAAATAACTGTATAAAAAACCAGTATGTGATCATAAAAACTTGAGAGCTGAAAATGCCGATATCTTTCTTTTTCAGGAAATTGGTCCGTTGGTCGTTGTTCATCATCCGGTCTAAAAGTACATTGAGTTAGTACCTCCCATATCGCATACTTAAGAACCTCTGCAAAGCAGTGGAGTTCCCCTTGTGGCAAGTAATGAGCGCACCAGGGCCCATGCAGATGCTCAGGTACGCGCCATCCCTACGCATTTATATATGTATGCATATGTAAATCTATTTGAAATTTTAGGCATATGAAAGTGTTTAACGTTAATTCACAAAAAAATGATTCGCAAATTGAAGACATCCAAAAACAAAATATTTCTTTTTCAATTTACGACTACCCCAAACTAGTTCTTTCTATTGTGCACAAAGATAATTGAAAAATCGAGAACATTTTCAAACAAATTTTTCATCCTTGAAATGTGTCAAAATTCCATTGAACCGCGCAGTACTCCCCGAGGTACCCAAGGATTACCAGATGTGTCGCACACACGAACGCACAACCACAAGCGGATTATCATTTAGTTCTGTATAAATTGGATCCTCTATTTTTTGTTATTTCTTGTAAATCTTTGATATAAATAGTCGGAAATCAGTTATTTAGTTACCTGTGCACTGCACAGTGTGCAGAACTGTTGAAAAGTCTCCCTTTGTGCAGTGATGTTTAACGAGGCGGAAAGAGACATGTATTCCCGCTATTCTCCAAAATGCTTCTGTGAGGGCCATATCGTTAGTCGTTCCTACAATTAAGGCGCAGAAGTAACAAAGGGGCTAAGTGCCAGTTTACCGAAAAATGAATTATTTCTATAGAAAGGTTCTATGTGTCATCGACCATATCCTATAAAACGGACAAAATGCCAGGACTCTAAAATTCCGTACAAATCGAACATATAGGTGGCGCTTTCTGTAAGTGCTCGGTTATTTTCAGATGAAAGGAGTCAAGTGCCGTAGCACGCATGTTTGTGTTCATTTTGTTTAAGTAAATCCGACCGTTTCGTACCACACGACTGTAGATAATAATAATAATAATAATAATAATAATAATAATAATAATAATAATAATAATAATAATAATAATAATAATAAATGGCTTTATTCGAAGAGATGCATACAAAAATAGTGTTCCACAAATAGGAATAATTGCTCTCGAATCTCAAGGGGGAGTTTTTTAAAATAGTGATATCAACTGTTACATGACTACTACTAACTATATGAGAGCAGAAAAAAAAGCATGAGTACAAAAAAACAAATAACACTGAAAATATAAAACTGAAAATATTCCATCATATAATCATGAGATTCATCCAAAACAGCTAAATGTTACAGTATTATCAGTGAAGTTAATTATACTTATCTAAAAGGAATCATCTCAGAGCTGCCTTGAATTTGCAACCTTTCATATTTTTGATTTGCTGGGGGGTGGAGTTGTATAATTTATAGATGTTGTAAGAGAAGCCACGTTCGAAAAAACATGTTCGATGGAATGGAGCAGAAATATTCTGTTTCGAACGAACATTGACAGAATGAAGACTTTCTCTAAACATGACTTTTTCATACAAATATACCGGTGACTTGCTCGACAAAATATTATTGTAGAAACATAGTGTTAATAGTTCTGAACGCTGTTTCATGTTCAACCACTGTAAATCCTTCAGCCTATGACTAACTCTGTCATATTTCCTTATATCGAAAATGTACCTTATACATGAATTTTGAACACGCTGAATTCTAGATATCGTATCAGCATCCAAGCATGGATAATAGACAGGAGCACCATACGAAAACTGGGACAAAACCAACGCATTCGTTTGATGTCTCTGCTAAGAAGGTGTCTATGAGGGTAAAGCAGCTTGAGTGCATAATACGCTCTTTGTATACATTTTGAAATATGCTCTTTAAATCTGAGCTTAAAATCTATTATGAGACCAAAATTTTTAACAGAATCGCAGAACGGTATTAGAACATTATCTATATGTAGCGTCATATTGTTCATTATCTCTGACCGTTCTTTCCCAAAAATTATTGCTGCTGATTTTTTTGGATTCAGTGACATTGAATGATCATTAGAAGTTTTAAATAGAGCGTCAAGATCAGAATTCATTTTAAACTCCGCCATTGGCCAATCATCACCAAGGAATGAAAGGCACACTTGAGTATCATCTGCATACATGTGAGGCTTACAGTATTCAAGGGATTTGGAGAGCTGACTAGTATATAGCCTGAATAATAGCGGTCCGAGTATCGAACCCTGCGGCACCCCTTGATTTATTGTCCTTACTCGCGAGAGATTATTATTGATCTTCACACGTTGCATTCTATCGCTAAGGTAAGATTCGAATAACGATTCATTATGACCTAATACCACACATGATTCAAGTATTGCAATCAGAACGTCATGATTTATAGTATCAAATGCTTTGCTAGAATCTAACAAAACTAGTGCAGTACAGTTACTGTTGTCATTATTGTAAACTTCAAAATGAATTCAGGACGTCGCAAACAGAGATTTGGAAGATTAAGTGATGAACAATGAAAACAAAGACAAAGGCTTATTACGCGTCCTAAATATGGGCATTACATTATTATTTGAAGCGACAAGTGACAAGTGACAAGGACTTCGCCTTGATTGAGAAACGAAAGCGCAAGTGCGCTCCAATGGAACCTGAGGCCTTACACGATGTAATACTCTCAAGTACACACAGAGGACGATTTGAAATAGTAGATATGTTACTGAAATTTTTTTTGGTGTACAAGCGGTAGTCGACAAGCTCTTAAATCTGAAACAAGTGAATATTAGCAAAGTTGTACGTTTGAAAGTTGACTTGCTACAATCTGGATTTTTGTTTAATGCTGAATCTTTCTCTGAAGTAGCACCTTGGAAAGCAACTCTGATACACTTAAAAGAGGAAAAACCATGGAAGATCTTAAAAATATCTCAATTAACCAGCTGCCAGACATAAATAAGGTCGGTGACAACACGAGGCAACCCTTATATAATATATATATAATTTAAACAAATAATATACTGGCACTTAGCCTGTTTCCTAATTATTATTTTTTTTATTTTCAAGTTTGCGTTTTTTCTATTATCTTTGTAGAAGCATATTCAGGCTTAAGGTACACAATATGTTAGATAATTATTTGAAAATAAAATGTTTTTTGTTTTTGTATGTGAAGGTTTTTTTAAACTTCTCTCTTTAACAATATTGGCACTTAGCATCTTTGTTACTTTTGCGCCTCAATTGTAGGACGCGTTTATGGCCTCCTCGATTTCCACACTCTTATCTCTCCTTCAGAAAGGCTGGGGTAATTTTTCCCTTTTCTATGGATGTTGTGATTGTCCGTAGGTGGTAGACGGACTCTGACTGTCGAATGCAGAGGTACCACCCGGCGGATCTCGTAGGCGGAGCCAGAATGTGTGCATGTTGCATGCACACGTGTTTAGTCGCCAGAGTCCGTGAGGCGTTTCCCCTTTCCCCTGTATCCCCCTATAGCCCCATGGTACCCCATGGGTGTTTAGACCTTAGGCATTCGTGGTAGTTGAAGTATAAAAAACGGTGAATTTAGGATAATAGGAGACCAATGAAAATATGAATATTGCAATCCTTGAGAAGAGATAGTGAGTGGGGCGAAAAACATAAAACATTATCTACACAAACAGATAAAATGTGAAAATTGAAGAGGCGAATCTGTATACATTCAGTACACTTTCTGTTTGCCTACACAAAATTCTTACATTTGTGGTATATATGCATTTGCAATTTTCAACAGATTTCTGGCTACAAGAAATAAGCAGTGGAGCTAGTTTACAATGAACTAAATCGCCGTCCATTTATCCTCCAATCAATAGGAAGACAAAATGAACTATTGTTTAAAGTACTATTTGATATCCAAAAAGATATGTCGATTTTGATTTTTTTGCGAAACACTACTTCCTTGTCAATTGGCGTTGGATTACAGTTAAATTTTTTGTTGAAATATCTTTAATCGGCCATGGTTGTCTGGCCAATGAAACCACATGCATTTAAAGTTCTACTTTAATGTATATGTTATGGACCTTTTAGACCATCATAATAACACACTATATAGGAATCTGAAAACGAAAAAACAAACGAAGTGTCATTTGGAAGACAGATAAATAGAATATTGTCAAAAAAGTGTCATGTATAGTCGAAATCACGAAAGATGACGATTACGTCATCAATTTAGTCTGTAGTAAAGACAAACGATAGCGATTTGTGAATATTTTTAATGAAGTTTCAGATATGTTAGACAGAGACAAACAGAATTTTATTGTCTAGACAAACTGTATTGCTAATTTTCGTGTATCCGACAAAGATAGACGATGTTTTCATGATGCATGATCGATCATATTTGACAGATGGATAGTTAGGTTATGTTAAAGCAGGTTAGGTTATTTTCGAATGATACTTTGGTCTTTGGTGTTCCTGTCTTAAGGTATTGTACTCATAACTGTTTTTTTTTTCAAAACAAAAACTCCCCACTAAACTTATTACTAAGATATCGCTCAAAACCATGAAATGAATTGAAAATAAAAATAGTCAGTGAAATAACCTAACTTTGCAAAATCATAATATAAATTTGTTGTCATTATCTTGACATCGTGATTTTTTCATCGACGTACCTCCATTGATTACTTCAGTATAATTTATGGTATGACGTAATAGTCATCTTTCGTGATTTTGACTATACTGAAGGTCATACTTGTAACGGAGACGTATACATTAAACAAGAATTTTAAATAAATATGGTTTTATTGACCAGACAAGCATGGGGGATTATCGACATGAAAACGGCAGGATAAGTTTCAGGTGTTACATTGGAACATCCAGCTATAAATTAGAATGACAGATGACCATTCCTGGAATAAATCTTTAAACGAAATAAGAGACCATTTTGAAACTGCAATATACCGTCTTAAATGCTATACCTACCAAAAAAGCCGATGCTGACCGAACGGAAAACAAATCATCATTTAAACCCACGACCAAAGACAAAAGTGAATGAAAAGCATTGATTGGTATAAGAAACTAAAAAAGTACGGCGTCATCACATCAACCCTAATGTCCAACACGCATAATGATACTCTTCTCCACCGCCCCGTCATCAGTGGTAGTGCACCTCAAGGGAGTTGCGCAACCAATCAGCTGGGGGGTGGGCGTGGCCTCAGTACGCTGACGCTTCCTTATACTCGGAGCCCTCCATGGTGAAAAAATCCTCCAATTTCCATTGGAGAGTTTCGAAGGTGGGTCGGCGCATCGGGTCCCTGTTCCAGCACTCCAGCATTATCTCGTAGAGCGCGGGCGGACAGTTAGGAGGTGCGGGCATGCGGTAGCCGTGCTCAACTTGGTGCAGCACCTCGGCGTTTGTCATTCCTGGTACAAAAATATATTTTATTAGTTATGTTGCATGTATTTGTATTTATAATTAAAAATAATACACGAAATGTTATTACGTCAAAAATTACAGCTGCATGCATTCGAAGTACACCGCTAATGCCACCTATGAATGAAAATCTAGCTTTGCGTCAAACAAAAAATGACACTGTCGACGCAGACGCCAAGCAAGTCACGAATAGCAAATGTCCATGAATTTTGCGTATGGCAGCAAAGATTGCTATCATCTGAGTTACAATTTTCGTAATACAGTTTGGAGTTACCTTTATCGGAAATCAAATTATATCAGCTTTATGTGCAAGGGCGTACCCAGTTCGAAACGGCAAATCATATCCAGATAACTATGATTAATATTTTTCTTTATGTTTGCACTGATTTATTCTTCCACGACAACTTAACAATTCATGTTGAGATCGAAAACTACCAGGATTATTTGTTTGAAACATTCAAGCAAGCCAACCCTGCAAAAGAAATTGTACAGAAGGATTTACATGTTCTTTATAGTGAATGCAAAGACTCCTCATCTTGACATAAAAAATTCTGGGTAGCTTTTTTTATCAAACTTCAAGTTTATAAGTCTTCCAAATGGGTAGATACAGCTCGTTGCAACAGTTCATTATTACAAAAAATCATTCATTTTTTGCCGAAAAGTGCATCAGAGTAAACATGAAATATTAGCAAAAAGTAAATGCCTTTGTAGTCATGTAGTGACATCGAAAAAAATTTTCAAAAATTCTCAAGATATCCAGCGACGTAACTGCTGCAACAAATTAGACATACAGAGTGAGTTTTTAGTATTTGATTGAACGATATCTCAATTACTATAAAGCATAATCAAAAATGTTATTTACAAAAATTGTGGACTAATGGTTCTTAATTGGAATATACCCCTCACTACAGGGTGATTCATACCGATATAACCCCAAAAACGTTTTTTTTTCAAATGGAATACTGTACATCTTTTAGTATATCCTAATAAGCCACTTCCAAGGGAGTTTTGATATAAGCAGGGATATTATACTAATTCCGGAAATAATTTATCTTTGTGGAAATTGATTCGTTTTTTTTTCTATAATTACTTAAAATTTCGTCATATAGCCAAACATAGTTTTATATGGAATATGTAGAAGAATATACCTAGTTATTCTGGAATGATTTAAAAAAAAATGTCATATTTTCACCATTGTGATCTCCGAAACAGTAATAGATGCGGCTCGGTTGAATGGTGGCGAAGTTGCGTAGTTATATATTTTAGAAAATGCATTTGAAAAGTTTTGATGCTTCTAGTATCTTCGGAGTTACATGGAAAACGAAACGAATTTTCCCAAAATCGTTACTAATTTTTTCTGAATTTATTTGAAATAGGATTTTAAAATAAACTGCACATTAACATTGCCTCTTTTTGATCTCCGTAAGGTGGCATAGATAGAACAATATAATTTTTCGTCTCTTATCCGACGTCTCAAATTTGATTTTTCTTATGTACGCCATTTTTACATAGACGAATAGCGTTTAATCTGATTTCAAATATTATAACATGTCTTACCTACATTATTATATTTTTTATTGATATAAAACTTTAAGTGTCTAACTTCATTTAACTGGTTTAAATTTATTGAATGAGAAACAACTTAACGTAACTCATACATATTATTCAAAGTGTGCAGTGACAGCACTGTAAAGTTGCAGTATTCTCATAGTCCCGAACATCTTGACAACATCAAATGTGGGAATTACTCGCGCGTGATTGCTGCCATCTTTAACACCGACGTAAACACACTGAAGGTACCACAATTTTCCAACCACAAGAATTAAACAGTAATTAACTTACAATAGGATCGTCATCGAATTTGTGCAGACATAAATACACATTGAACTGTAAAATGTGTATGTAAGACAGTGAAAAATATGCTTACCAGGATAAGGTATTCTTCCATATGTAACTAATTCAGTAAGAAGTATACCGAAGGACCAGACGTCAGACTTTATTGAGAATTTGCTGTAGTTTGCCGCCTCCGGTGCTGTCCACTTGATAGGGAATCTCGCTCCAACTCTTGCTTCATATTCATCCTCCTGCAAAATAGAAAATAAAACGTTAGGAAATGTACAAGTAGTACACGAACAACCAGTATAACGTGTCGCGTAAAATCTGGCATATGTGTGCTGAGCTACTCATTTTTGAAATCCCCTGCCCCCTCATGCATCAGTTTTTTATTCGGTGTTATACGCTCCGAAATAGTGGGGATAACGAAAATGACAATGTGTCAACTTTGTTAAGGTATGTATTTTCATCGTTTTTTTTTTGCATTAAACTCACATTAAACCGATACCAGATAATGGAGGATAATAAAAAACGATTTATGAACCAGAGTTACAACGTACATTTGAGATGTTCCTGAATAATAAAAACCCCAAGACAGTGCAAAAATGCAGGTTCATAGCGGCTTGTAGTTGGCTTCATCTATAACTAGACACTTTGAAAATAATTTTGATTGTCAACACTAAAATATGAATTCGACAAATTTATCCAGCAGCTTTACAATAAAAATGCAGACGACGGCAATGCTTCTGAAAATAATGGCGAAATGTGTTTACATTTTCATTGTTTGGCATTGTGATATAAATTGTCACCTTCAAAGCAAAACATCAACAAACAGGCTAGGTGTTTATCGTCGCGCTCCCGTGCGCATTTGCTAGACTAGTTCGGGAGCGTCACACTCCGGGTGCATACAACTCTCCACTCAAAAGCACTGGAAAGCAGCTCAGGAGAACTGGCGAAATCAGAAAAAACGACGCCAGAACTTTGACACCATATTGAGGGCGCTGTGGTTGAAGCGAGTAGCAGCTAGTGGGCATGCGCAAGGTATCTGAGGTTAAGATACAAGATCCGACCGCTTGAATCTGCAGGTATCTGTTTTTTTTTAATAAAAATTGATTTTTATGAAAGATAAATAATAATAGAATATATTACAGCAGGGTTGCCTTTGTCAGGCCTGTTGGATCGTGGACTATTAGGAACATGTTCATATGGCGGATTTGTCGAGGCACAGCGTTGCCTGATGGGTCGGGCAGAATTTCCCCAAAACAAGCACATAAATTCCTTAGAATATATAGAGCACGGTGAGAGAGCTTTATATTTGCGAAACGTCTGATTTCCCCCAGACCACTAAATCCCCAAAAAAATCCCCAAGTAAAAATCTACCAAATTTGGGGGAAAGTTCCCCCAGCATAGCAACCCTGTCAAAGCACCACTCGTACTTCAGACGTTAAGTTTTGGGGTCGTTTTTACTATCGCCGTAGTTTCTCCTGGTTCTATGATGGGCATGATAAACGTTGACGTCGGATGGTCAGAAAGTTTGCAATGCTGAGCTTTGAAACCAATGTTTTTAGTTTTGTAGTTAGGATAACAGCGTGGTTCATTGTAGTACCGAGATTTGTTGAAATTTGCTGTTGCTACTGAAATAAAAATATAATATCAAAACAGCACTTACCTTGATCAACCTGGCCAGCCCGAAATCAGCAATCTTGACAACATTGCCATCGGCCACCAGCACGTTTCTGGCTGCTAGATCCCTGTGGATGTAGTTCTGCGATTCGAGGTAGGCCATACCAGCTGCAATCTGCGCTGCCATGTCAATGAGCTGCTGCAGCTTCAGGCCCTTCCCCTTGCCCTGGAGATAGTCTAGCAAAGAACCGTTACGCATCAGCTCTGTGATGATATAGATTGGCTCTTCTACTGTGCATACGGCGTACAACTGAATCAGCTTGGCGTGGCGCAGCTTTTTCATTATTTGAGCCTCGGCAAGGAAATCCTGAGGAGGATGAAAAGTATTATCATTAGAGAAGTTTTTTCACAAACTTTAATCTAACTAAAGGAGTCAATTGGATAAAAAATGTAACCACTCTAGCTATTGCTTGCAAGTTTTAAAGATTAAATTAGACTGAATAAAAGTACAAAATATTTGCGTTTACTAATATACTAATATAAAGACCAACAACAACGGAGGCTCTACTAAGTGTTTACTCAATTTTCATGATCCCATTACTTCTCTAGATATTAGCTATTGACAAACTTGGATTGACATACAACTAACCAATGAAACGAGAATTTACTGTAAGAATTGCTTCTTTATTCACCATATTTTAGAGAGTTCCTCTGGTTTAGGGTTTAGGTAATTAATGTCGTAGTCTTCAGTTGAGTGTCGCACATTTACTCGATATCTCAATTAACAAAGCTTATTTTCAATTCAACTGACCCGGTATATATAAATCCAGTAATACTTTTTTAATCAAATCATACCTGGCCCATTTTGTTAGTTACCCAAAAAAAATACTATGCTAAAAAGATTACACTACTCTTTTGTTTCAGTAAATGCCTTTGTTAGACAAAGCTCTACCGAATATTAATAAAATGCATATTTCCTAATAAATTCCACAGTGGATCACAAGAATTTATCCATTCACAAAATTTAATATACCTTAGGATCCATAGTACCAGGCTTGAGTGTCTTGATGGCCACTGGTGTAGTGTTATTCCACATCCCTTCCCATACTTCTCCGAACTGGCCATGCCCTAATTTCCTAATGAATTTCAAGGAGGATCTTTCAATTTCCCATTGATCACGTGTACGATGTGATAGACCCTCGGGTTGAGGTTTTTCCACCTGGAAAAGACAGGCAATTATGAGTATTTCTAAATATACTTTCGAAAAAGTTCATGTAGGTCAAATAAAAGGATTAATAATTGAAAAAAAATAAAAATCATATAACTATGAGAATTTCCTAATGACTCGTATAATTGAAACCAGCTTGTTGATTTCAAAAAGTTGGAATAATATTACTTAATACTATCTAATGACACATTCTAAAGAATCTCTATTATATTTAATGAAACAAAACACAAAATAGAAGAAAACGTGGTGGTTTCATCTCCACAATTTCGAGGATTTAATAAAGCTGTATCAATCAAGAACATGCTTTGCGATACAGCTATTGACTATACCCCTTCAAGAAATAGATAAGGAAATTGTCAACCAAAAATATGTAATGATATGATCTTCAAAATGTGATCAGTTTCTATCGTATTTTTTTCACAGACAGAATATCTGAAACATCAAACAAGACTACAGTGTACGTATTCAATTTTGAGACGGCTACTGACGATAAACTAGCAAAGTAGCAAACCAGCATCCGCAACTGTTAAGGCACCACATCCAAACTACTCCGGTATCTTAGAGTTTAAAGTAAGATTTGAAACTTAGTTATCCCTATTTGTTATTTTTTCAAAAAACCTTGTATAGATAGTGGATTTTCTTTTAGGGGAATATTTTATTTTGTTTTGGCGCTAAGGCAAACATTTCCAATAATTGTTTATGCACAGCATAACTTTCTAATATATTTGAAATATTAGTTAACCGAATGTTTTCGGGTTATAAAAGTTTTGTTTTTATGTCCATTTTACACCAATAATATGTATGTTGTCAAACATGGGATTTGACATTATTTCGATAATACCTGAGATAAGATTGTTACTCGCGACATAAGGTATCCTACTTAATCCATAATGGCAGAAAACATGAACAAATGGTCATAAACTCGGAAGTGGCAGAGATTTCTGGGAATGGAAATGATCTGGAACGGAACAGGTGCCGTTGGATTTCAGTTTGTAACATATGGACGGACAAAATGCTGCAGATATCAAAGTGAATGTGTCAAGCGTATGTTGCATATGCCAGAGAATTCTTTAAATGGAAGCAGCTTGCACTATGTTGGGGCACAAGTGCAGGGTAAGGTGCATATCTATTCAACAAGCTGCAGGCACATGTTGCGCAAATATGATATTGATTGTGTGATTTCCTATAGGAGCGCATTTGTGTATTCATATTGACCGTGTAAAAAAAGTAATTCTATGATTAAATCCAAATTTCTGTCGGTGAAAAATCGCTTTGACTAATGAAATTTTGATAATTTTGTCGGAGTTGAGCCCCCCTTAAAATGTGCATGGATGGGATCATAAAAGCAAACAGAATGCTACAACATGGATATGGAAGTGTTTGAATGGAAATGATAATGCAAAGTTGTTGAATATATCGTGGAATGCCCACATGCACACAAAATGAATTTTATATGGAAGTATCGACAATGGAACAACATGGTGTTTCAATTATTGAGGATTACTGTCCCTTATTTCCAGTGACATTCGGTGTATGTCGATGGTGATAAATATCGGATGAATTCAATAATTTGATCTTACATATATGTATATTTTACATGTCATGCTTTTTGGAATATTAAGATAACAATTCTCAAACTAAACTGTACTAACTAACCAATAAGAGAAACGATATTAAGGCATAAACACCAGTAGAATTGGAAAAGCAACTATCCTCGACCATACATGTATTTTTTTTATTCAGTCACTTTTTTGTCTCAAAGTTTCAGCGCGTATTACTATTGTCTCACCGCGGTTGTCGCCTGTTCTAAACAAGAAGGATAACAATAGTGAAATTGTATTGTTAATGATGTATTTTGTATATTAAAGCTTCAACCCTATTAATAAATCTCAATGAAAGGTAGTTTTGCTCAAAAATGGAGACTTCTTTAAGTTTTTCACAGCTGTAGGTAACAGAAACATAAACTCATAGAATAGTTTACTTTGTTTCTCTTTTTCATGCTAACTTAGTACATAGTATGTGTACATCGAAATGGTTTTGTTCCAACAATTCTAAGACGTTGTCAATGAAAACTAGCAATTCAGGTAATTCTACTAGTCCATATGAAAGTATTGCAACATGCTTGATGCAATATTTTCTCTAATTTATAACCATACTCAACATTTAACATTATTTCTGAAAACTAGTATGTATATCCTCAATAAGCGATTAATTTTATATTGGCTATTGTTAATGGACATTATATATATATATATAAAGGCAAATAAGTATACGCAAAGTATGAACTAAGCTATAATTTCTATGGCTAATTGCTAAAAACATTGCTTGTAGACGAACTACGTCAGTTTATCGAGCATTTAAACAATTTAAACTTCTAGTAGTTCATATTTTATTCTATGTGTATAGGTGTTTGTATACATATGGGAAATAAAAAGAATTCCTTGTTATTTTAAAGTCACATAACGTCAATCAAATTCGTTCCTAGAACGATTTTACTTGTTAGCTTGATTATAATAAATATTCACTGAAAATATATTTTCTTTTTAATTGTTGGAATCAATTTGATAAAACTTCATTGATCATTTGGTAGCACAAAATCCAATTATTATAAAAGAAATATGATTCCTGTCACATACTTTCTAAAAATTGGAAATATTACACGTGTTTAGTAACTAGAACGTTATAGACTTTATATATATATATATACAAAGCACAACTTTGCGAGAAATCATCCTCTGAAACATTCTAATAAACACATAGAGAAAAATATTTGTTCCATTGTTAAGATGAAATAAAAGAGTGAATCGAACAGAGATCTACATAAAAAAGTGACTGAAAAACGTACCTCTGGCGATTTACTCTGCGTTAAGACAGAAAAATGAGTTAGTAAATGAAAGAGTTCTAATAATAAAATCAATGCTACACTAATAGGACTAGCCAATAGCTGCAGGATAATTTTGGATGAGGCATTATTCGAAAAGAAAAAAGAAAACCTATGATAACAGTGTATAATAATTAGTTAATTTGAAAATAGTACAAGTAAAGACAGCACATTGGTAAAACAGAACTGAAATCGTTCAACAACTTGCTTTTTTACCCCATGAACTAACGACATTTACATTATCTGTTGACAAATAACTCATAGCAAATAGTCTTACAGTGAATAGTGTACAACAGAAAATGCTTGGCTGTCTGCTGGAATCATTTGCGTTTAAATTTTATTATTATTTAATGTGCGTTGAGGCCTTTATATTACAGAGGCTTGCAAATATTGACAGCAAAATGCTCGGCAAGGATAGCTCCTTTGATTTCTCTCTTTTACTTTTTAACCGGCTGAAGATATTTTGAGTTCAGTTTATTGATTAAATTGCATTTATATGTGCACCAGCTTTCAGGAGAAAATGTTATTATCTTTTTTTAATTCTTCGAGTATGAACTCGCTGGTGTAGCCTGCAACTGAACTTCGCCACCAGTCTACTTGATTCTCTATTTGATTGTTATTTTTATTGAAATAAAAGACTTTTATTATTATCTAGGGAGGCAAACAGTGGAATTCGGGATCAAATTCTCATGCAGGCATGTTTTAAGCAATGCTATTCAAAATTTCAAGCATCAAAAATTATTGATGATGAAAAAATGATATCAAATGCAAATAATGTATCGATGATATACACCGTAAGCCGTACAGACGATCAACTGTGATTTTTTGTTAACAAAAAAGAATGTCGCTAGCTCACATCTAAAACGAAAAAACTGAACATGAAATGTTTATTGATTGACTATTACGGAATCCATTATATCGGGAAGAAAGCTGACAACGTAAACTGAACTGAAAATGATATTCTATAAATGCATAGGTTTCCTTTTATGGTGACTGTACATATATGACGTATTTGAATCTTGTTAAACAAAACAAGCTTCCTACCTGCACGCAAGGCTTGCATAAATTGACACACAGTCCATCTGCATCTTTGCTGTAATACGCCACCAGTTCTTGCAACGTCCTGAACGTTGTTCTTCGTGCTATAAAGAAACCACCTTCGTCTAGTTGTCGGATTCGGTAGTGCTTCACGGTGTCACCGTCTCGAACTGGAATTAGAAAATGGGTTAGAAACATTTTAGTTCACTAGAAAAAGGAATAACACATTTTGAGTGTTGTATAGGGTGATTGAAAAAAAAATAACTAACTTCTATCAATTAATCTGCCTTCTGACCATGATACAAGTATATTTCCATTTCTACTTATACGAGACCTGTCTCAGTGAAGTTGACCCAACTCCCCAAAACATGAGATTTGTGAATTTATTTGAGGGCTAATGAAAATTTCATTTCAAATACAATATTTTTAGTTTCTTTAAATGTTTATGGAAAGGCAACAAAACCGACGCGGCTAATTTCAAAGTGTTTTTATATCGAAATTGTCTTCTTTGCAAAATGATGAATGTATAGCAAAGCATATGATAGAGCCCTATCAAGTTGCATGTCCTGTTTAGTTGCTTCGATAAAATAAAGGTAGTCTTTGTAAAACTAATGAAAACATTTTATGTTGCTGAGAAGCTGATTTTTTGACATTTAAATCAACTTTCAATGCATTGGTGTGGTTGTTAACAATTAAAAATGATTCGTGGTAAATTGCACACTACAACAGAACCTGTGGCTCAAAAACCCAGAAATGAAAGTCACCCGCGTTAATCTAATACCTATTTATGAACCTTAAAACGGATTATCAAGGAAAATCGGCATGCTAATTGCAACGAGTTGAGAATATTATGGAATCAGGCAACCACAAAAAAGTTTTCAACAGCAACTTGCCTCAGAGCTGCCCAAAAACTGGGATTTAAAACTTACAAGGTAGGTAGGCTTAAATTATGTTTTATTATTCGTTTTCAATTCAGTATTTCTAGGCAAAAGATTCAGAAGAAAAACAGACTAGCGTGGGCCAAAGAACACAAATTTATTATGGTCTCTGAACCAATGCAACTCCATTATATGGAGTTATGCAGTCAGATTTGAAGTATGCCTTGGTGATAGTAGGAGCCGGGTCACAAGCACTGTTACAAAAAAATGTAATATTTTAGGCTAATACTAAATAAAAATATCGTATTTTATCAGAACTACATTTTAGTTTTAATATGTTTTCGCTAATGACAAAATTCATAAATAACGTATTTTTGATAGTTGGGCCAACTTCACGGAGACTTTGCTCGTATATAATGTACAGGTATAGCATATTCTACGCCTGTGATGGCACACATGCTATGGTGAGATGATATCACTACCCCACAATACTACATACAAATTTCAATTTTAAACTGGACAGAGCATTTTCAAAGAAGTTTTATACGGATTCTACCTCGGAAAAAACCTTATTTATGCAAGAGAAATTTTGAATGTTACATAAAAGCCAATAACGCGTAACATATTCTTCTTCAACTAAACATACTGCTATCGTCCGTCTGAGCACAGACAGACAACCATGGACAGTTGTTTCGTGCTTTTTGGCAACTTATCGGCATGACGTAGGCTTGATCTCAGGTGGGACAATGAACGAAAGCGTAGCAACCATCTTCTATCCGAGGTATAAGATATATCGGAAATTCAACACAAATCGACCACTGCGGGAGTGAACAGCTATCGGTTGAAACTATAATGATCTCACTTAGCGTTTGTCCAAGCCTAGATTATACTGATGAGTTGCCAAAACGCATGAAACAGCTGTTCATGGTTGGATGTCTGTGGTCAGACTGACGGAAGCAGTATGTGTAGTTGTTCAATGACGAGTAGATAGCTACTGTTCACTCGGGTATTTCTAGGTCGATATCTTCATCTCTTTGGGACACCGCGTTGGCTAAAACCGTTTCTAGGTATTATACGTATATAAACAAGGGTGAGTCGACAAAAATATTATGATCCACCTTCCTGTATAACGCGATATACCACTTGTTTCCGGTATTCTATTTGCATCATCATGAAATTGGTCCAAGTAAAATAAAAATTGCATAGTAATTATTCCGCACTAGATTTTTGTAAATTCTAATAATTGTGTGATTTGAATATTTTCACGTAAATTATAAATTTAAAATGCAGTTTTAACTACAGTATTTGTTCAAGCTTGTGAAATCAACCTTCCAAAATAACAGACGAATGAGCATGTTTTAGTTGTTCGCAAAAATAAGATAAGGTGTAACAAAACATTTATATATGTATAAATTCGTCCATTTTTAACAGATATACCCAAGTATAATAACATGTGCAGTGGTCTTTATGATAAATCTTGTAACCGCATATCGTGTCTCTGAGCTTTATTACAAAATATTGTGATGCGTAAACACCTCAAGAAGTTTTTCAAAGTAAAAGAAGATATAAGAGCTTAGAATTGATAAAATTGAGCTTGGACGGTTTTATCAATCTGTGTAGATGTACACATAGATTCATAATCTTAATACAAATATAACAAAAAAATCAATTCTTCAACCACCTCTGTTTGGATATTGATATGCGTAAACTTATATTTCTAAATTGTAATATCAATATACATGGTAATTCAAAAAAGCTAAAACAATAATCCTAGAACATAAAATCCAGATCAAAAATATGAAACGAAAAGTGTATATAAACACGCTTCTTAAAGTCCCCTTCCTATATTGAGGGCGTCGTAAACTTCTACATTATTGATTACATAAGTGAGGATAGAATATGCATATTCTTCAAATAACGTTAGGATGAGGTAGCAAGGAAATGGCGTCAAGCAAGTTTGGAGTAAAGGATTATGTTTGGCACAAGTGAGCCCTTCTGAGAAAAAAACTATGAACAGAAAATTAAATGACCTTCCTCCTCCCCCTGCGAGAAAGTCCTGCAGGCACATGATCTTCGCGATGACCAATCCCGCGTGAGTGACAATATTGGCCTTCGCCGTGCGCAGTACACACAGCCCACAGCAGTGCGGAAGCGATTGTCGACTGTAACGTACGACGCTCATCCATCGGAGGACCAGGTTGCTCGCACTGATATGTGAGTGCTGAAGATAATGACAAACGAACGGGGATATCTAAGATGAGTGAAATATGCCTAATAGGTCCGTTGAATTACAGGAGTTGGAGGCGTATAAGTACACAAAAAAATAGAAATATACCCTCCTCCACCCCCTGCAACCCCTAACCCCCAATTTTTTAACCCCCTCAAAATTTTTTCCGAAAATGGTCAGGAACCTGTGAAACGTCAAAAAGCAAATTTTCAGCTACTTTTATTTTTTCGTTTTCTGCCTATTAGCGCCGCCACTGGACCGATTTTCAAAAAATTTCGTCCTGGTCATTGTGCGAAAATTTCATCAAAATCCGAACGGTACTTTCCAAGTTATATAGGAGTCAATGATGAGCGGACAGACAGACAGACAGACCTACGGAAATGGATGACATGGTTTTTCGTGACCTACATGTCAACATCCATCATCTAGAAATCAACATTTTTCTTGATTACAATGCTTTCTCACCAGTAGGCGTGGGAAGTAAAAAAAAGTAAGTTTCTAACTCAGATATTAGAATCTTTCTCTCCAAAAGGGATGATCTGATACGAATTTTTCAAGAGAGACAAATGATTTAAGAAGATTGCTCTATCTAAAAATGCAATGTTGTGGCGTTAAAATGTCAATGTTTCTATAGTCACTCTATACTAGTTCATTTTTATTTTTAACATTTGAATGGTTTGTTTAAAACTAGTCCATTTATTTATAGTCAACAATTTACATTTGCTGAAAAGCGATAACTTTTTCACTCCATATCTTTATAGCAGAAGAAAAAACAAGACTTTCTTTAATCCGCTTACCTGATAAGGAATAATCGTTGTGCCTGCTCTCGGAATCCCTGATAAGGAAAGCGCCGTGTTCATTTTCGGGCAACAGCAACTTCTTTTCGGCTTCAATACGTTTTATTTTACGGAAGTACCATCTGTAACAAAATTATTTTTATATAAAAAATGTAAATGTGTGAATACATAAAATATGTATATTACGTACTATTACAGTTGATGGAATCTTTAGAAGCTGGTAAGTAGATTATCCAATAATAATAAACAGGTTAACAAAGTTCAAAGTCTATGAAGTAAAATTAGTAGATTGCAAAATGTAGATATAAGTTAAACCAGTGACGGATTCTAGAAAAGTCAATGTACGGCCACTTGAAGTGAACTATTTACACTTTTTTTTCATTTTTTGGTTTTATAGACGTGTTTTTCTTATTAGACAGCCTCTTCTGTCAAACATGTTTGTTAGATTTTGTTGCATCTATAGCGTTACTGATGTGATATTACGTGATATTTTGAGCGCATTTTCGCTCTCGACATAATGATGTGTCAGGTAGTTAATTCATAATAATAAAATAATAATAGCTTTTAACAAATCTGTTGATTTATCGGGACATTTAGTGTCTCTATCAGGTGCAAATCGGGATGCGTCCGCGCAAATTGGGACACCGGCAACGTTAGTCATGACCCGCTAATTTGGATAACTTCAATTTCAATCACATATTCTGAACCACCTCAACATTTTCTCATCGTGCAAGCATTATTACTCACTGAAATAAAATGAGGTGAAGCTTGCACTATATGCAACTGTTTTATATTGCTGTAAATCAAAAACGTCACAGCGGTCTGTCAGATTTCGCAGGGCTTGCCGCGTAAAAGCACAACAAATATTCATATCACAGGCCAATATATTGGCAAACGTAAGTTTATGTTCCATATTATCCCACAAGGTTAGAACGAAGGTAAGTCTTTGTCTGGTATGACGAAATATAAGAGTTTGCGAAATATCCTTTAACGAGAATGCACTAAGAAACTAGCTAGTGGAGTACATATGAGCTAATTATTTAAATATATACATGAGAAGGAATGCTCGACGAATATTCATAAGAACATAGGTCCGTAAAAAGGTTTTTTTTTGAAAATCGGTTTTCCGTGAATATTTTTAAAGTAACTAGCTGATTCAAATAACGAAGACGCTCCTTTAAAACCGCCAATGGTCGTGGCCACCTAACCCGTCGGATTTGAAACCGTCAGAACTTTCCTACTGGGAACATTTAACGGTATACAGTGAAAAATTCTCAATCTTTAAAATTAAAAATTATTACAAAAAGTGCCCCTCCAACTTGAAAATAAAGTACGAGTATTATCGAATTTACGGTTACAAGAAATTTCGTCTTAGAATCACTCGAGGAGTTACAATTTGAAGACTGGCCAGGTATTCTACCAACGCCCTGTATCATTTTCCGGATAATGTTTGTTAATCTATATACATTTTATTTTACTGTACCTCAAGCAGAATCAAATACTTACACGTATTGTTACAAACGTGCAATAAAATTTATTGCACCTAATATGGTAGAACTATCCTTGAAATAACAAATGCACCACATGACAGGCATCGGATAAAAAATGAACAGCTTGATTGAAATTAGTTCGTCAGAAAAAAAGGAAGTAAATGAGTGCGAGCAGAAATTTAGCGAGCAACTTTATCGCACTAGAGCGGCAGATATGTCAATTCTCATCGATCTGCTGTTAAAAATGACTTTTTGTGTTTACTTTGGAGAAATTTCAGAGGAAGTCGAATAAATATATGTTTTCAAAAATATGGACTTATGGTTATAAATTCAATTGCTTATTACAAAGTAATTGAAAACAAACATCTATTTTGGAGCATCCGGTATATGAGCGACATCATATCATACTATTATAACTCAGCCATATGCTAGCCACTCATATAGCAAAGGCCTCCTACTATAAGTTAATTGATTGTATGTTATCAAAATAATTTGTTATTGTAAACTGACAAAATAATGTCACAAATTATAGCGCACGTTGTGAGTGCTAGGAAAATCTTCCAAATAATGTGAGCTTTTGGAGCAGCAGTTTCCGGTAAAATAAGTATTCACGATATTCCATAGAGCACCTTCTTGAATGCAAAAGAAGGTCAAGTTTAATACGAATTAGTGATTCAATGACATTTTGTTGTCAGTTCTCGGTATGTATAGGCTTCTGGTCAAAAACAAAAACAAGAAGAATGTAAACTCATGAATAATGAATCTAATGCAATTTTATAGAAACTGAAGTTTTTTATATTGTAAATAAACAACATCTGAGCCTGTTATATGGAGACCATAACGCAAGAATCGGTTACATCTAAAAGAAAATACAAAACTATCATTAAATAGGCAACAGAGGCCCACAGTGCGGAATAGCAGAATCCTCCTCTACTTTTTAAGGGAATGTACTGGCAGTTTTTCTTCCCTCTTGACAAATTTACTCTAGTGGGCTTTAAGTCGAATTATTGGACTAAGCGCCTGATTTATAATTAAAGAAATTAGTTTCATTTCGAAAGTATTTTAGTTATTGTAATTAACGACTCCTGGATCCTGGATCATAAAATCCTCTGTAACGCGACAGAATTTATTATTTTTTTTTTTATTTCTAAAAGTAAATATTTTGAATGTTCGAATAATACTAATCGTTTTACAGTGATGTTTTAATGCTACCCCAATTTCATACGGATAGTTTTTTAAACATTTCCACAATTATTCTCCATTATAAATGTGGGCAAACATCACTAGGGTAAAAACCATCATTCTATCAACTTTCAAGTCAAAAAAAGATTGTGCAATTTCTTCAAATGTGTGTCTGGTGAAATTTGAAATAATTAGAACAAATCAATATAGCCATTTCTACAAATTATAACCAGACACAAGTGTCACCTTAAAGTCATCAACCAAGAGCAAAGGTACGTTCATCTTTGGGCACATAAATCTGCGCTGCTGCTCTAAGAAGCTATCATTATAACTTCTAGTATTGATTACAGCACAAAACTAGCTTGTTTAAAATGGATTGCTCAAAGTAGCTTCAGTTTCCATAACGATAAGACTGCTTTATCACATGGAAAATCGAAACTTCGCCCGGCTTTAGAGCGTAGCTGATAGGGTTTGGAATGTGAGCAACGTTTTTATTTTTCTATAATTATGTTTTGTATCCTATTGCGTTTTATTATAGATTTGAAGTAAACATTGTTGCGACCATGAGCTCATATAAAAATTAGGTATTAATTAGGTGGATATGGGAAAATGGACGAATTTGAACAAAAATATTAAAATTGTGAGCTTTGGTCTTTTAAAAAAACAATGAACAAACAAAACAAAAAATTTGAGTTATCTCTGGGGCCCGATTATAGACCGGGATCCTTTGAATTTTAATCAAAAACAATTCTCTTTTGATGCTAAACTAAATTGCGTTATCTACCACATAGGGCTTTAAAAACTAGTGAGCTAGAGGATAAGTTACAGAACTTCTTTTTTCATAAAGTTACAACGACACTTCGCGGATAAAAAGCACCCGCGAAAAGTATGATTTATAACTGAAAAGCTATTAGTAAATTAGTAAGTTATCATCTAGCTCATCAACTTTGCGAGAGATTACTGGATGTATTTCAAGATGAAAGGAGAACAGTTTGAAATACAAATTTTTCCTAACCTCAAATACCCTGCAAATCCTCCTCCCTCCCAACGATCAATCAATTTGTTGAAATGGAAATGGTCTCAAACATGCGCAAAAATGCAAAAATGGCAGGTTGTATGGACCTGGACCTTATTACTTATAGTAATGTAAACATACCTTGATAATGTAAACGTACCTTAATGGTGATTTAGCGATGCAGATAATTCCAGAACGCGATCGACCTTTAACCTGATTGCATTTCCTGTGGAATCTCTGATTTGCTCTACCAGAACGGATTAATAGAATACTGCATAATTGCAGAGTTGCGTTGGGCAGGGGCATCATTATGCAAGGTCACAGAACATCGGTTGGATAATCAGCATCATTGAAAATGTCATTTTGTTACACGCAATCTGGGTGAGTGTGTAACGGTTGAGTGACAGCTCGGATGCTACGTACCGCAGTACCTAATTTAGCTATTACATTTTGAAGATTACAAAGAATGACGTCAAGTTGATTGACTCCATATTTCATAAGATTTCATATGGCTACTGATACAAAGGAATGGGTCTAGCCTACTCCAATTTAATCGAAACTTGGATAGGTATGTTCACTTAAGTACGATCAATCGTAAACCTCTACATCTCAAACTATACCAAACAAATATATTATATCTCTGACTCTATGGCAAAGGTATGTAAATATGGTCGACTATATAGTCTAACAGATGCAAACTATGACTAGTATTGTACTCGGAAACCAAAAAGGAAGATAGCAGCGAAACACATTGCACGCCGATGCTAGAGCAGCATCTTTTCGAATTAACAAAGTCGGCGCGCGAGTATCCGGCCATACTAAAAAAAGATGCCGCGTTAGCACAGGCATGCGATGTATCTTGCTGCTTTCTTCCATTTCGGTTTCCGAGTAAAGGAGCTTCTAAATAACAGAACGTCTAATACTGATACGACTCCTTCTTTAACCGTAAAGAGATTACATATATGGTATTATGATTGATTCTGCACAAAATTAATTAGATATCTGCAAAAGCCTATTAAAAATACACCTAACCTCTGAAAACTTGATTGGCAAACCACATCCACGCTATAATTAGCAATATGTGTTAATAGTGAAGGACCTCCCAAGTGATCAGTATGCAAAGATTGTGCCGACTTTGGCACCTCGCCATGCGACGCGGGGTCGTCATTCGTGGAATTGACCCCGACCTCGCGATCGGAATTACCGGAAGTCTTTTTGGTTTTCTTTAAAAAATCGTGGCGGTCAACCGCTAGCTTCCGGATTTATACGGAAGATTTTTCGAGGAGAGTTCACGTAATGTCAACGGTTTTTCACCTAATGGCCACCAGTCTGGGACGAAGAGACTTTTGCACATTGGACATCATATTGACTTATACCGCTCTAGAAATAGTAAAATTCACTGACATCACTTAGTTCACATAATGAAGAAGATCCA